CGAACCAAACTTCTTTAAACCCAGCAAATTCTTTACTACTCTTAATTAACATAGCTTCCTTCAGAATTGTGACCGTCTAAGAGCCTACTACATTTTATCATAGGCGGTTTCTTTGACTCGATTCCAGATCAGTTTCCAGTTTTTGTCGATGTCTAGCCCCACCAAGTTGAAATATGATTATTATTATTATTTTCAAAACACATGCGCTTGCCTAATTTGCACGCTGGCTGACACTTTGCGCTCTTGATGTCAACAACAGCAGCGACTGCAGTTCTCAACTTCAATTACCTTTGGCCACGGTGGCTGATTGGCTGGCTGGCAGGTAACTTTTCATATTTAATTAAGAAACTTTTAAACAATCGCTGTTGAAATATGGCCGACGACTTATCAGCGGTAGTTGAGCCAAAAAATCCGTTCCCCTGCTAACAAGCACACCAGCGAAAACTTGAGGGACGCACAAAATCTCGTTTGACATAGTTTTTGAGGGAATATCGGTTTGAAAGGCAGACACCGAGCAGACACAGTCAACCGCAGCGCACACACATGCACTTGGAAGGATATTCTTCCATAGGGAATAAAGGACGAGATGGTGTGAGGAAGATAGTGCGGCGAGACGATGCAGTTACAGTTGCCCCTAAGCCGTAATTGGTTGCGTCACTGCGTAAGTCACTAGTTCGCCTCTAGTCCTTCGAGTCCTTGTCGTTGCCATAACGACGCCCACGCAAACACATTCACATTCACAGTCACACTCACAGTCACTCACACTGCATGCGGCAGTCGGAAAGTATGCTGTATTTAAATAAGATAAATGGAGGCGACCACTAATTGAATTGCTGACAAGATTTCCCCAGCACACACCCACAGCCAGGCGAACTCGGCCAGATTGTTGTCGTCTACTGGAATTTTGGTAATTAATAATTTCACGTAAGCGGAAATGTGAAACAAGCATGAAGACCGTAAAAGGATCAGCAGGAGCAGCTGGCATCGGAACAGGAGCAAGTTTGCTCAACGAGCTCTATCTGATTGTTGTCGGGCGAATTTGAGTCCAGGACTGTGTGTCGGTGGCCTAAAGTTTGCAGTGGTTGCAAGTTTGCTTAGCTATAAACTGTTTATGAGGAGTTGATAAAACACGTGTGGGACAACTGAAGATTGAATTGCGCACTCACCAGAGATGATGGAACACTTCAAATTATCAGCTTTCCTGAAATGAAGAAGGTGCAGCCTCAGTTTTTACTCTCGCCACATATTTTGAGAATCATATTTAGAATACAGACCTATTTAAGAATATTTTTATTGTAACAGCTATTAAGAAACGGAATCAAATTTCTACAAAACTGAAGTAAGCTGGTAAAAAAATGTTCAACCAAAGAAATTTCCTCATTATCTTTAAAACAGCGAAACGAATATTTCAATGGAAAAAACTCTTAGTAAAAGTGATATTTTCATTATTATACTATTTTCTAAAAGATTTCAAAAAAAAAAATAATGCTAAAGAAACATATTGATGTATAATAAATTAAGCTGTGATTTTTTTCTCAATCAAAACGATTGTAGTGATTATGTTGTTTACCAAAACTTGGGGAACATTTAAAGGTTTTAGGTATAATTGTATGTGTACTTAATTAATTAACAAGACACTGGAAATACACTAAGTTTCAATTCCGAAATATTCACTTTTGCATACTTTCCGTACTTTTCCACAGTTGTATTTCGGTTAATTATGTGATAAACCATTAGCCTTTAATCATTTAAATGGTCTACCTATCAGCTATTGCCCTATCTTTGGAATTTGTAATATTTTTAATTTCTAACATAAACAGCCCCAAACAGACAGACTGACGATAAACTCAGTAAGGTGAGTAGAGTGTCTTGCGCCAGACGACAACGGAATGGGTTAAAAGCCTAAGCCCCTCTGGTAAACACATTTAACTGCAGTCCCTCTCCATTTTTTATTTGTGAGCCCCCTTTCCGCAACTCTGGGCAGGGATGGTGGCGAAGGAAAAAAAAGAGAAAATAAGCTAAAATAAAACTGATTTCATTACCTTGATTAGTTGGTCTCTTCAAGTCTTTCCCTGCTATTTGTCCGTTTGTTTGCCCGACTTTTTGCGCACACACATTTTGAAATCCCACGATTCGCTTATGATGGCAGCCAGCGGAAAGGCGGTGGCGGGAACGGGGAAGGAAGAGGCAGGACCTGATGTTGAGGCTGGGCTTTTGGCCAGCCACTCTTTGCATTCGCCATTTTTTGGGTTCAATGCAAACATTAACCTCATTAGCATTACGCTGTGAATGGATGCGGTGGAGGGGACCAGCCTTCTCTTCAGGCTCACTTACATTGCTCCTTTTTATTTTTAATGGATTCATTTTAATAGTTCAATCCGATTTGTTTGTTTTCAATTGTGCTGTAAGTGATATTTTGTGGGAACGGCTTAACATTTTTGTACTGCTCAATTCGTCTCATAAAAAAAGAAGATGAATTGAAATACATTTTATTTGACCCTTTTCTTAAATATTTAAAAAATCTGTTATTTTGCTAGGATTATTTCGATTGAGAAGCAATTTTGAATTATTTGAAAAGTATTGTTCTGTAGCTGTGCATCAAAAGTAAAGTTATATTTTTTAGGACTCACAGTAAGTTTGTTAAGTTTTGGAATATTTTCCATATTTTGGGATCTTTATATCAATAAATAAAGAAATTGATTAAACAATGATGATACGAAATCCTTTCTCTTTGCTCAAATGCTTAATCCTTTAGCAATGAGAAAGTTAAAAAATGTTGTATTACTTATAAAACAATTTTTTTTAGATTAATATAATAATAAAAAGATAATAACTTTTCAGGCGATCTAGCCATGTCCGTAAGTCCTCACTTACTCATTTTTTTTCTTATTTGGATATAACTTTTGCAAAACTTTTCCTTTAAATTTCAGGTAGTAAATAAGTCGAAATGGGAAAAAAGTCGAAAAAATAAATATAAAACTATATAACTTCGATGATTTAAAATTTATACGAATATATTTCGAGAATTGTGATTGCTTACCTATTTATAATTACATTTAAGGTTAATATATCATGTTACTACCATACGAACGATCGAAAAGTGTATGTTAAAATCAACATAGCTTATTTATTTTATGTAAACCTTCTCTTTCTTTTGGTCCGAAAACAATTTTTTTTTGCAAAATATGAAAGCTAAATATTTATAGGGCATTTGTGTAAAAGGATATCCCTATCATGCATATTGTTTAATGCGTGCGTTCCGAAAACACATAATTCACGCGTGGCGCTCTAAAAACTTTAAACATGTTTATGTCCTAACCATTTATTCCGATTTAACGTTAACGAAAGAGGTTTTTATGATCCGATTTTCATTATGTAAAGTGGTTTTTGGAAGAATACACAGCTTCTGGTTCTTATTCTAAGTTAACAGCATCATTAATTGGATTCTAATTAGTAAACGTTGTTAAAATGCATAACAATTTATAACAAATGTATTTTTCATTTATAGTGTCAATTGTGACGTTAATTTTGGGCACAAATTTATTTCAGTCACAACTTTCTCATCTTCTCATCGACCCCAAGCCTCTAGTGTTGATGCAGAACTCTGAACTCCCTTAAACTATCAAAAGCTCCACTTGTACCCCAGTGACTCTTTACTTTAGCACACTTTGAGCATGGTACTTAACTAATCCTTACCTGGTGTTGGCCATGCCAGGCAACTTTCTTTCCAGCATCGAAGTTGCAGTAGAGAGGTGAAAGCAGCTTAATTAAGCATAATATGGCTCTCCTTTCGCCTAGAGCATTCCGACAAGTTGTGCAGTTTTTTATGCTGCTGCCTAAGTAGCTGTTGGTAATTTTTTCTAAGCCACACTCACAGACCGACACTTCGCAGGGGTGACGTGAACCTTGCACAATTTTAATTGCATTTCCGCTATTTTTGATGCCTCTTGAATTTATAATTCCATCGGACTGGATGTGCCTTCTGGTTCTCCGCCTTTTCTCTTCTTTCACTGGGCACGTCCTGAGAAAAATAATTCAATTAATTACAAAGCGGACAGGTGCAAGGCAGCTACACTTATTATTAATCATACGCACTGTGAACCCTGGAAAAAAAGGCTATGAGAACCGTAACCGTAAAAAAGCATGGCCCTCTGACTCGCATTTGTATCTACACTGGTAAAAAAATGGAATAGTAAAAATAAATATGCGCATATTGAATTGTAAAATGCGTATTTCATATTTAAAGTAAATATAAAAATATTAAAATTAAATACAAAACGTATTAAATTCCATAATTTAATATTAAAATATTTAAATCAATGCGGTAAATATTGAGTTTAAATTTTGGGCAATTTGTTTTAAATTTTATCATATTAAAATTGAAAATTTTCAGACTAAAAAAAAAACATAGTCAAATTAAGAATGTGTCATATTTAATTATAATACGAAAACTGAAAATTATTTTGAGTTTTTAATGATTTTTACAATAAACAAAACATTATTACAGTTGATATTGTCAATTAAATTTCAATAGCTCAATCTTAGGGAAATATATTTAATAAATATGGTACTTAATATTTTTAAATTTAAATCTAATATTATTTGTATTAATATCTATGTTTAAAGTATTATATTGAAATTGCTCAATATTTAAATTTAATATTATTCGTTATACATAACAAATTAAATTTAAATATTGTTTTTGTTACTTTAAATATTATTCCTATTTAATTTAAAGTTGTAGTCGAGGCCCGCATTTTATATGTAAAAATAAATACAAAAATTATATTTTAATTTTTTGTTTTGTTCCATTAATTTAGACGAAACTCTTAAATTTATTACGTTCGTAACTAAATTAAAATAATGTTAAATAAATGGAACAAAAGTCATAATTATACATACATACATACATATGTGTATAACAAATTCTAAATGCGCATTTTTAGCGGTCTTTTTTCTCCGTTATTCGCTGTTTCTTTGAAAAGGATTCACACACACATATGTACATATGTGTGACCAGATCACTTCTCTTCGTATTCAGCATTGCACGGCGCGTGCCATCATTTCTAAGTCGCAGTTGTTGTGTCGTGTAGTGAAAATTAAAGTTTAATTGCTGATGCCGCGATCTCATCAGAAACACAAATCAAAGATAGTGAAGTGCTAAAATAATTAATCTGGATCGCGATTCTTACACGTTATTGGGTGAATAATTCTGCAATAAATTTGTTTTAGGCTTTATACCCACGCTTGATATATGTATGTATGTACATGTGTTGGTATGCATGTACATATGTATGTGCAGCGTTCGTTTACCGCTTAATTGGCGTTAGATTTAGTTTGGAAGCCACTAGAAACGGTTAACGGACTCTGCACATACATGCATATATTTGTATGTAAGTGTGTGAGAATATTTAAAAACAAATATCTTCTAGAGTTATTCACATACATATTAACTGTGTATTTTACCGCGATCTAGTTTAACATAATTAACCCTCAAGATAAAGATCACGCCAAGATTAATTTTAAGCTTCGGAAGCATAACTATTTGGTAAGTACCGATCTAACAATAAAAATATAAATGTGGTAATGTTATGTACATACATACGCACGCTGTGTAAACATGTTTCTACATATGCATGTATGTATGTGCAGCGTGCGTTTACCGTTTTAGTTACCGCCCAAAAATTTTAACAAAAAAAAAGCGAATACTTGATTTGATTTTTTAAAATATTACAAAGTAATATTAATATTTTAAAAAATAAAATCAATCAAATCAATAATAATAACAATAAATTAGCATAAAACAATCCCTAGTGATACCGTAATATATGACTTGGAAAAACCCAAGTTAAGAAAAAAAATCTAATTTCAGATACAAATCGATTTTAATTTAATGTTCCCTGGAAAGGAAAGGCGCATTAGCTTCAAAATGGGAAGCGTTTAAGAAGGAAATACAACAGTACTATGCGTATAATATCCACAACGTGAACAGAAGGAAGCTGTTTATGAATTTCAAGAATTCAGAGACTATTGGTAAATTACATTATGAAATATATTGTTTTATTTTTTAATTATAATTCTTATTTTTGTCTTTCTTTTATTTATTTTTCATCAGACTTTATTTTGACTATCCTGCTCCCCTCAATTTTACCGCCCAATACATGGTACTCTTCAAAAGCATCAAAAACCAGAACTCCCTGGAAAGTCTAGTCCTTCAAGTGAACTCCATTGCCGACTATCGCCAAAGGCGACCGTGTATGTTTGTAAAAAGCCACAAAGCAAATTCTTTAAAAACATGTACAATATGAAGTGAGTGTTAAAAACTACGTTCTTTGATAAACTATATAGGCCGTACTGTATATAAATTTTGCTTAAATAAAATGATTACAAAAAAAAATGTACTGCTCAATGTTTTTCTTATGTTAATAAACGGTTTTGAATAATTTAAATGAATATACCCTGCATTTCATTTAAATATAATAAATATTTATATTTAAAACGCTAAATAATACATGTTATATAATTCATATTTAAACTAAATACTTTAATATTTAAATTCAGTGAAATTGTTATTAAAATTAAATATGAATTGCATTGTATTTAAGTTTGGAATATTTAATTTATAGATGTTTTATATTAACATTAAATACGATTATAAATCAAATTAAATATTTTAATATTGAAAACAAACATGTTTCATTATTACTTCAAATACGATTTCTAGTTAAATTAAATGTTTTAATATTTAAAACAAATACGCATCGTGTTTAATTTCACTATGAATTATGTTTAACTTAAATATGGACCAAATTTAAATTAAATATTAAAAATATTGAAAATTACTCTGTAAGTATTTAAATTAAATTCGAAAATCAAATTAATATGGTGCATATTTAAAGTAAATATAAACGGATTTGGATGAAAATCAAAGCGAAAAATATTTAAATTGAATACAAAATATTTAAATTTACTACTTTTTTTTTACCAGTGTAATAAACATGCTTATTTCATTAGAGCTACACATGCGGCTACTTCATCCGTCCTCTTCCAATTTTCCGCCCTAAGGGATATCATTTGCCCTAGACCCAACGATTCCGACATGAAAAATGCGTTCGCGAAAAGTTGCCAAGAGTCCGCTCACTTTATGATTGGGGATTTTTCGTGGCGCCACTAATGTGCCATTCCTGCCTCACGTTTTTTCTCTTTTTTTTTTGCCCTCCTACTTCTAGAGAACTTCATGCCACCGTTGGCTTTTCCCACCAGAGGCTCTGCTGTCGACATCATTACAAATAAATTGAGCGTGAAAGATACATTTCGCCAGCATTGACATGCAGCAATGATAGGCACATTTTCCTCGACTCTCTAGAGGTTCGCCGGGCGAGGCAGCGAGCTCTGACTGTTCTTATTTAACTTTAAAACAGCCTGCGTATATCTGAGTAAATATTTGACTGAGTGAGAAAATATTTTGTTGGTAGTGAACAATTCGTTGTGTGAAATAACAAATGTAAAACTCTTACTTGGGCTACTTTCCTTCCAAAAAGTAAGGTTTTAGGGTTTATAAATTTTTGATTTATATTTTTTTAAATCAACAATATGTTGAGAATACTCTGTACAAATTTCAAGAAAAACCGAGTAAAACTACTGCGTTTCAAACGACCGGCCGTGCTACCTGATTTTTGTACCTGCCCTGTAGCCGCCCGGTACCCTGTTACCCCATTAGAAGGAGGACTCTGCTTTAGTGGATTTTTGAACAAAGTCAATCAAGTTCCAGGATCTTGATGTTACCGGTTAAAAAATTATCATTCCACCATTGTGGGGAGTTTACAAAGTTCGTAAATGAAAAGATAACATTGATCACTGGATTAAGATAGGACTAGCTTTCAAATTATTAAATTACTATTTAATTATAAAAATATATATTTAAGAAGCTCGTTCTAAAATTTGAAACTAATCGGTTCAGCCGTTTTCGAGTAACGTGGGCCACCCTCTTTGCAAACTCCATTTTGGGTAAAACGCGTTTAAAGTTAATACTTCTACTTGCAAGCACTCTGATTCGCCTTTAAATTTAAATTAAGTGCAACTTCGAAAATATTCACCTGAACGATATAAAATTTTAGAGTGTATTCTTAAATATATGTAAATTACCAAAACAAAATAAAAAAATAATTTTTTTTAAAATTCTAACTGTATACAACCCCTTCAAATAGACGAAATGTAAATGTATTTAAAATGTTTTTTTACTCGTATAAAACCATCGTTTTGAAGAAAATGTTAATAAAGCTAACACTATAAAGGCAGATCAGAAGCCCATATTATCAGTAACTTAATTTAGTTGCGATTCAAATTTAATGTTGAACCTGTGAGTCATAACTCTAAAAAGCCTTTTGTTTAAACGGATTTAAAACTGACGTCAAATAATTTAATTATACAGTATGCCTAAAGAAACACAAATAGCTCAATATAAATTTAAATTTTACAACCACCCCATTCCACGCACACAAGTTGCGAAATATGTATTTATTATATATAGTAAGTGCTCCGTGTGCGACAATTTCAAAATGAGAACACAAAAGTCAATTTATTGAAGGCTGCAAACGAGAGAGAGGGATGGGTGCTAGAAATGTAAGCATAAAAACATAACCATGAAAGATATTTGATATAATAACATACGTGACCGCATTCACAATTTTCAAATCAAATCTTGGCAGATTTAGGATAAAGGGGCGAGTCGGGGCGTTCTGCTATTGTCTGTCTATTGCCATGCATGTAAAATGAATTCGATGGTGAAAGACACGTGAGGTCAGTGGGTGGGGTGTCACTCAGTTAAGTGTCCTTGGCATGCTGTGAAATTTGTTAACATTTATGCATTATCATTTTGGCTTACGACACTTAATGATAGCACAGACATGCAGCAATAGATGCGGAGATTGAATGTGGAATGTGTTAAGGCTTTCTTATCGTTTAAAAAGACAAATAGTTATCTCCGAAAAAGAATTTGCTTAATTTGAGAAATAAAGGTTTAAGGCCATCATGTCATTAAAGGCCACAAAAAGTTTGGAGTCGATATTATCGTTCTTTAAAAATATTTTTTTATTATGGTATATTTGAAGATTATTTAAAGTATATTGCGGTATATTTCTAGAAACTTGCTGGAATTTTTATCATTCAGGGAATTCTGCATTTCCCAAAGGTTCGAGGTTGGCTTGCAGACCATGTGACAGCATTATATGGCAATTTCGGTGTTAAAACTGATTTAAATATAAATTCCTTATAATTTGCTTTGTTAATCAGATAAAAATTAAAGATTTAGATTTGCTTTTTTGATATATAGCACTATTATTTCAGAGGCAAAACAACTTTAAATACTATCGATAGTACCGATATCCAAAATTATCGATAATGCCGGAAAAGAACGAGCAGTGCAGTTTGCGTGACTAATCCTTTTGAACTTGGTGCAGCAGCAGGGAAATAAGCAGGACAAATTGTAGAGAATGAACAACTTTTAAATAAATTTCATGTGTATTTAATTGATCTTGTAGTGCTTTGAACAATAGTCCGTAGTTAGGGATTCTACCGGCGTGGCCCCAGTGGATAGTCCAGAGACACGTGATGAGCCCCTGTTGGGATTATTTCCCTAACATTTCACATTCGTTCCCGGTTATACCGGAGACTCTGGAGCTCCCGCTTTCTGAATATAGATCAACCAACCCCGGTTGCTGACCCCGCTCAGTTAAGTTATAATTTTTGCTCTGTTTTTCTAAATGACCTTCCTCGTGTTGCCCACACTCGCACATATTAATTTTAGTTTCCACACTCAATCCATAATCTGCACACTACAGTGAGAAATTAGTTGGCTCAGTGTCTACGCGTGGCCATAAGCCCAATTAAGTTTGTGGTTTCCGCATTGTCATATTTTTGAATTTAGTCGTTTACCTTTTTTGACAGTTGCCTGGAGAGGTATGGGACTCCTACCTAAATTCGATGTGGTTCAGGGATGTGGAGGAGGCTGGCATCGCGGCGTATAATTAACAATAATGAAGTCGTAAAACCGCAATGCAATCAGCGATGCGCAAAACACACAATTGCACACAAACAAACAGTCGAAAGGCCGAATTGCATACAATGCCCAAGCTGCCAAAGGGGATTGGAATTTGCGTTCTGGAACGCGTTGAATTTCCATGCAGCGTCCCACCTCGTATTCAGCGTTCCGACTCACCCAACTTGAAGTCAGGGTCACACGGGCATTATAAAATATTTATAAACCATTTGCACGCATAATTAGCCTGTCATTACATTTTGAGATTTTCGGTGTTCGGCGTTTCGTCTGTTTGTTGGCGTGTGTGTCAGTTGGCTCAATTGTGCATGCAAATGTGTCCGTGCGCTTAAATTCGTGTCTGTGCGGTTCTCTATCGAACATTGTGAACAGAATCTTGACTCTTAAGCATTCTGCTGCTCTTGCATACATACGATAGCATATACAGATTTAATAACTTTTAGTTAAGTGTTCAATTAAAAATGTTTACTTATTGTACTTTAACTTTTTAGCAACGATGAGTGCCAAAAATCCTGACGGATTTATCAAATTGTTTAGGTTTTGCAGCTGTTAGAAGCTCGTTTAGTTCGTGTTTGTTAGCAATCATGGAAAGAGAATACAATTTGTCAGTAATTCAATTTGCTTGATTTTTGAATACCGTTTTTATAGTGGCTTATTTCCATTTATTTAACCTTAATTCAAAATTAATTCCAAATATATTCGTAAAATAAATTAAAGCTTTAATGTAAGCCATTTCGCTTCGGCGATCCAAAAGGGTGATTTCGAGAAGAACGGATCTGCCCGATATGGAATACCTCGAGAACTGCAATAGTAATAAAAACAAGCAACGAAACAAAGACATGGCTTCATCAACTAACTTAGTCATGCTGAACTATAAAATTCTATATATATATTAGATGGTAGGAAATTTCTGTTAGCCAAAGAATAAAACTTAACCAAAAATGCCACTTTTTTGGAAAACTGGAACCTATTCTTAAATAATAAAGGCCTGTCCGAACATCTATTTTTGATTCATAAAATTCATAATAAAGTACTTTCAGACGTTGTACTGTAGTCGAATTCCCCTTAAATAACAGCTAACAAATTTAAAACATAAATTATTCCCCTGAAAACAATACGGCGCCATCTGCCGAACTGTATATGTATGTCGGCATTACAAGGAAGAGGGAGCTGCACCCCCACCCCGCTAACAACACGCCTATATAATGCAGACCCGTGGCAGAGTTCCGGCAGGGCACGACACGAACATTATAAAACCGCTGTCGCACACACACATTGACAATTTTCGCCGTGCAAATTACTCACGCATCTCTAATATCTTTATGCAAGAACTCCGTTTTTGAAATATGCAGAGACGTCATATTATAACGTATTTGCAAATAACTTCTAAAATAAAGGTTCGATTTTCGAATTTTTGTAAATTGTGAGCGAAGCAGAGTTTTGAAATAATTTTGATAGAATCTGCATGTTAAATCCCAAATCTGAAGCTTTTATAGTTTCCTAGCTCTTGATCCTGATCAAGAATTTATAGCGCTCTAAAAACATTCTCGTCCTATAAAAAAAATTACAAATATAAGAATTAATTGAGAATCAATTAAAAAGATTAAAAGAAAAATAGTTGTTGTTGGCATATTCAACTTTATCTTTTTTATTTTGACTGCGTGTTTTGCTATAATAAATCAACAATTTACTCCAGAGACAGAGGTTTGGTTTGCAGTGCATATACCCGATTATTGTCGATTTTAAAAAACATGGTACAATATTGAGTGTACTGAGGATTTGTTCTCTTTAATTTTGTATGTCAGTGTTACTTGTATTTTCTTAAAGTGTCTCTTAAACTATAAGAATTTATCGATTTTGGTCTAGTGACTCCAAGAAAAACACCGTGTTGTTTATAAAGTGAGCATTACTTCCTGATCCCGGAATTTTTGATAGGTTTTCGAAATGACAGCGCTGCCCTTTCCACTCGATGGAAAGGGCAAAGTAAGCAGGACTGATGGAACCATTTGTATTACATTTTTGCAGGTTGAAAGTAATACGAGTGTCATTACAAAGTAATTATACCCCTCGCAAAAAGAGACCCACGACCTGACCTGGCGGATGGCCAGAATCCAGGGGCGATGCGGGGCTCGGGGGTGGGGCGTCGAAATGTCATGTCATGTTGCGACAGCAGTCTGACCATTATGCACTGCGAGCTGCGAACTTCGAACTGCGAACTGCCAGCGTCCATGTACATGTGTTCGGGCTCTGCCATAAAGTAATCAGCGGAAATGTCAATGGGCCGCCGCCATTTACTGATGTGTCGGCAACTGAGGTTTACACCGTCAGCCTCGCCGTCATCGCCAAGGCACGTGTGTTCTTTATATTGCGCTAGTTTGTTGGCAGCCCTTGTTATTGTGATGTTGTTGTGCCCGGGCATTGTAATTAAAATTTTCCGCTGCATATGGAAGTGCAATTGGTGGGGTTGCAGGTTTAATTGCGCGGCTCTATGTGCGATGACAAACCTTTCACAGGTCCCCGCATTGTCGAGCGGCTATGCGAGAGGCCCAGCAATGGGGGAGAAATAACTCAAAATCCCGTTGTTGCCGAAAGCTTGCCATTGAGATAGCCTTCAGTTACACGTTGGAGCCTTGGCCACCAGGTTGAAAACTTTAAAAGCCAAAAAATTATTCCGTTGTTTACTGCTCAACCGTTCAACAGGCTCACACATTCCCGTAAATCCAAACCCAAGCCCAAAAGATGGCGTTCTGTGGCCGCGTAAGCGCATCTGGTGAAATAGTCCTCAGAGATGAGATCTTCAGCAGCACCACCCGGCTCAGGCGGTCCTCGTCGTCCAGTGATTCGCCGAACTCGATGTCGTCGCCGGACTCGCTCCCACAGAACATCACCTCTCGCACCTTCTCCATCAAGGACGACAACGGCAATCCGGCGGTCCAGTCTGGGGACCATTGGTCGGACCTGTACGACGGACTGAGGAGGTCCGAGAGCCAAAGCAACGTGGTACCCTCGCTATGTTTCAGCACCCAGAAGAGCCCACTCAACTATCTCAGGCACATAGAAGGCATTAAGGTAGGACTTCACTTTCTTAGAGTAGACGAACCAAGTACTTTAGGAAGTGTTCCCAAACTATTTGATAATCTGTCATGGGTAATTGTAAGCTTAAACGTCATGGCGAATACACATGAGCATACATTAAATGCACAGAAGTCTATAATAATTGATCCTCGATGAGATTTATCGGTTATGTTTCACCAGTAGCTTGAACAGCAGCTATCTTTTGTTTAAGTTGTCAGAGAGTTGCATTAATAACTGCAAAAAAAATCATCAAATATTTATAAGATAAGATAATAAATTAAAGGAAAATTCTTATAGGATGTTACAATGTCTTATGTATAACCACTAACCATACAAAATATGTTGTATGGTTAGTGGTATAACATACCTTTGCTACTAAGCTGCCAATTTCTTTTGTTCCATGCTGTAAAAAACGCATGCACGAATTCTTTGAATGACCTGAAAATGCTTTCTCTTTAACAAATTACGCTCACTGATTGCCAAAAACAATTTATCAACTTATAACGTTATTTTGTTAGTTTTTATTACTGTGGCTATTTAGCGGGAAATTAAAAATAAATACTTTAATTCTTAAACTTATAGATTTCGTGTTCAAAATATGAAAGTTTCCTACTGCCCATTATATTTGACTTGTTTCTTTATTTTATCTTATTAAATCATAATATTAAATACAGCGCATATTTAAATGCTTGATTAAAGTTACAAATTTAAGATTTAAAATATTTCCTATTTGATTAAAATAATAATTTTAAATAAATTAAAAAAAAAAAAAACATAAAATAAAAATTGTAATATATAAATACTGAAAAGGAGTAAGGATAGTAACACCAAGATTTGTTATATTTTCCATGGAATGTTTTGTTCAACGATTGGGGGAATGTTTTTTTTCAACGATTGGGGGAATCGCCTTTCGACTTGGCCAATTAACGATGTATACTCCTCTGCCTTCAGGTGGGTCGCGAGCCAGAGGCGGCCTATGAGAACTGGTACTCGGCCAAGCAGCGGCTTCGCCTGGAGCGGCAGCAGCGTCTCAAGCAGGAGCAGCAGTACAAACAGCAGATGCTGGAGGAGCGCAAGCAGCTGGCCCAGGTGTGCTACGACCAGTGGCTGAAGGACAAGGCCCGCCGGTCGGCGAACCTGCAGCTGGAGAACCACCTGCAAGCCGCCGCCATGAAGGCCAGTCTTGCGCTGGGCAAGAGTCCGCTGCCATCGCTGACGTCCCCGTCCACCTCGTTGGGATCCGGTGCCAGCTCTTCGTCAACCACCAGGCCCATGCGCAACGTGTCCCAGGACGAGATCCGTCAGGTCGTGGAGGAGTGGTGGTTGAAGAAGCAGCAGCAGCAGCAGGCGCATCGCGAGGAAAAACGCCGTGCCATGTTGTCCAGGGCTCTGGATGAGGAACGCCGCAAGCAACTCGCCCAGGCTGCCTGGAGGAAGTGGATGAGCAACGTGGAAGCGAAGCCCAAGCCGGTGCCCCTCAATCAGGGCATGGACTCTCTGCGAGGCACCATCTCGAAGCTCTACGTGAACCCTTCGCCCTGGCTGGGTCCCCTAAAGCCGCCAAGCAAGTAGTTCGTCAAACCGGCCACTCCAGACAGATTCTTTTGCCGATGCAAACGTTATTCGTCATTCTAATTGTCCACAAATTATTTAAAATGTAGAAAAAGTGTTTCTTGAGCTCATGGGAAAAATAAAAATTATTTTTCTCCATTTCGTTACCTTTTGTGGCCGACATCAAAAAATTGACAAGCATAGAAAAAAGAAAAGTTTTGCTTACACTAAACTCATACGGGCTTACGTGCCGTATGATTAATTTTTATTGGAAACTTTGAGAAAATTGCACAAGCGTTAGACATTTTTTTAATAAAATTAGTGAGGTAAGAAACTATGTTGAATACATAACAGCAAAATAATTTTTAAAAAATTATGGAATTCTAGAAAGCACCCTTGTAATGAAATTTATCCCCTCAGAGAACAAAACAATTTGGCTTGCAAGATGCTATGACTCGTTTCTTAAATAATTGAAATCTGGTTTTGCAAAACAAAAATTTGCTTTCCCATATTCTTTAACTGCCAAATAAAAGCCAAACACTATTTTCAAGCAATTTAAAAGTCAATTTATACAATTGCGCCAATACACAGTTTAACCAATTTTGTAAACCAATACGAAAAGGAGGGCAAGGGCAATTGCGGCGTGGCACTTACGATGGCAAATAACAATTTGCAAGAAAAACACAAAAGAAAAGAGGTAAGCAAAAATCGAAACTAAAACTGCACAGGACAGGACACTCAATAAGATTTCAATTGTTGCTGGACAAGATACATTTTCGTACAGGCAATAAGTGGAAGAAGAAGGTGAACCTGAGAATTTGATGCAAAGCTCCGCCCGTTTTCATTAGATTTTCGGGACTGGCCCACTGCTGTGTGGCTGATCCTGTGCGTCTGTAAAGTTACAAAATTATATTGTTCCAAAATAAAATAAAGCATGTTTTAGGAAGCTTGAAGTGGAAAACAGAGGTTCGCAGAGCCAGGAGTGAGAAACCGAAATACAAACAAACAAAGCCAAAGGCCTAAAGTTCATTTGCACAATTTCCCAGCGCTTGGCTTGCTCGAAGCTCCCCTGCAGCAAAGTCAAAGGCCAGCCCGGTCCAGGCAAACAAAAAGACCAAAAAGACGTTGAAAATCCTTTTGATGAGGTCAACGTTGGTTTGGTTTCCAGCCAGCACACGCATGGAAGGTGCACAGTGATTGAAGAATTGACAAAACCCTCAGTAGAACCATTTTAAATGCGTATGCCATCATTATAACGCCATAATATATTCCAATGGGTGTAATGCTTTAACTAAATTGTGTTTTGCTCTTCATATTTTCTTGCAAAGAGGGGAGTAGAGAGTCGAGTCGACTTGGCGATGTCCGTCAATTTGTCATGTTTGTTCTTATGTTAATTCATTACCAGCAAAAACGTAAATTTTTGGATATTAGAAAATACGAAGACCTTTTTGTGGGGCCTTTGAACTTACAAATTACCATAGACATTTCCGATTTCCTAAATTTTGTATTTAGGGCTCGAATTCGAGGCAATTATTATTATTATTCCAAAATTAAGGCAATTTTTCTTAAAATCAGGGAATTTTGTTTTCTGAGTGTATAAAGTGTATATATTCTTGATCAGTGTGACTAGACGAGTTTATATATCCATGTCCGCCTGCTCGTATGTTTCTAATGCCGCCTGCGAGCTCAGTTTAAAAGCTAGAGTCTTGATCGTCTATTTCCTATAGCTGTCATATGAACAATCGGTCATCATTTTGTAAAATCCCTTTTTTTTAAGATAAGATATAAGATTCCCGTTACTCAGGTTCAAATCAATCTAGGCTTAGGTGACGCCATCTGTCGAACTGCATTGCCAACACTAGTTGCTAATAGCTAATAGCAGCACTACCCAGATTTTCTTTCGAAAATTATCAGTGTGTGTTCGTTTCCGCCTCTGCCGTCGCGCTGTTGCTGCTCTGCCAAGTTGACCATAGCCCACACTCCGAAGCATGGTGCAACTGCTTTAAGTGATCTCAACGCAAGAGCTTCTCTCTTCTGAGCACAGCGGCAGATAACCTAATAACTCTATACCTTTTAATATATAAGCTCGATTTTCAAAATGTTTGTGACCACCGATTGATATGACCGAAACACACACACAGAGACCAATAACTAACATGTCTAAGAGTAACGTGACAGACTTTCGCGGCTTGTGGACGTGGACTTGTGCTGCTCAAAAACTATTAGAATATGAATGTCAAATCCCAAATATATAGCTTTTATTGTTTCCGAGATCTCGTCGTTTATACAGTATGTACTTTATAGGGTCGGAAACGATTTCTTCCACCTGTTACATACTTTTCAACAAAACAACATACCCTTTTACTCTTCGAGTAACGGCTAAAATTAACTGTACAGACAAAAAGCTTTCATGAAAAGAAGAACATATTAAAAAGTGTATTTATTTAGTCGATTGCTAAATTCGTTTTTGTTAAAAAGTTGTATTCAAAAAACTCCGCATGTGGTAAGTACGATCGTCACGACTTTTTGTTTGATAATATATTGTCCAAATTAAACTTGCGGAGGGTAACATGCAATCGTCAGAAGCTTATAACGCAGTAACTACGACCATATAATTATATAAATTCTAAATCAGCATGACTAGACGAGTTGTTAAAGCCATGGAGTAATAAAGGTTTTGTTCATTTCAGGTTTGCTTTTTTTTTTAATAACTAAGTAATTTTAAGCCATATTTTTTCTTTAATTAAGTAAACATTAGGCAGTGTTGACAGTTACAGTTGTGTTTAACAGTTAGGAGATGGGAACCGTTTTGATGTCCTTAATATTTGAAAACATATGCTGTTGTATATCTCAAGATTTGTCTGGAAGAAATTAAACAATAAATTATTTGTAAAATGGACTTATTTTATTTGTATATTATAGTCCCGAAACTCCACAACTAGTTCGGCCTCGTTTATCTCGGCTCTTTGGACACGGTGCACTTTTAGCCAGGTCGATGCCAACCCATGTGTGTTCGTCTGTTTGTTCGAGATACTGGGAAATGATGGGGAAACAGGAATCGTTGGCAAGGGGCAAGTCCCGAATATCGAGCAGTGGCAGGATTAAATTTGGAAGGTATTGAAGCATGTTATTCGTCATCAATGTTGTTTGCACTAACTAGTTTGTGTTGCTTGTGCTGCTTTTGTTGTTAATGTTGTTGTTGTTATCGTTGCTGCTGCTGCTGCTGCTGCTGCTGCTGTTTGTTTTCATCATCCGAATGTTTTTGTTATTGCTGTTGCAACAGAGGCTGTTGCTGCTATTGCACGGCAACTTGGGCAGAGAATCAAGGGTAGAGCTCAGATTCAAGTCGTTTCCAGGTTGTTTGCATTGTTTACGCACTTTCGCTTTGATATTATTGTAGTGTGCATTTCGGCTTGATGACCACATGACCAGGGTAATGGTCAGATTGAGCAACCGCCTCCAGGGCCACAATCAACCCCACAGGCTGCATACACCCGCTCGAACGCCTAACTGGTCATACGACAAGCCTGGGTATGTATCTTTTGAAAGACCAAGAGGAAGTCATAGATATTATTTCAAGAAAATATAACAAACAATGTTTACCAATTAAGATAATAAGATTATCGCGAGATTATAGGAGTTGTGATTTCGATTTAGTTGTACCAAACACCTGTAATTTATTATTATAGTTTATTATACAATTTATTATATGATAATTATATAATTTATTATATTATTTATTTACAGTTTTTCATGCTCCATTTTCTACTATTGTGACAGTTAATTTGTATTATTGGTTATTTATTTGAGCCCTACCTTTTTGAAAATAAAGTAGTCGGGAAACACTCATAATCCATTCAAAAGGTACACCTAAACCTTTTCTAAAATAATACGGTATTATATTTTTTGTGTTTATTTTATGTGTTATAGTATTAAGATAAATGGAGCTGACAATGTGTCTTTATACTCTCTTGTTTTTCTTTCTTTTTATACCCTTTCAGAGGGTATTATAATTTCAGTCCTATCGTCATATATCTACCATATTTTAAGGTCCATCGAATTCTACAATGTCAAAGATCTTGGGCTTGAAATTTGTTTAAATTATATACTCGTTTGTTACTCCTTTTGTTTAATGGATTTTTATCTTTAAGATTCGTTAATAAACACATTTACCTACATAGACAAGTTGTAGTTCTAGTTTTATTTTTTAAGAACCTATCTTTATCTAGAACTAAGCTTAGCGAGAGCCCAAAACCTGGCCACACTGAAACTTGTCAATGTGTGTGTGCCGTTTTTATACTATTTGTACCGTGCTCTGCCGCTGCTCTGCATTAGATAGGGTCTCTGTTAGCGGAGGGTGAGGGTGCTACTCGCCCTTAGCTTGTACTGTTGGCAATGCAGTCCGGCAGATGCCCCAATTGTTTTCTGGGGGGTATATTTATTAAAAGCGCTGCTTGTCACAACATTTAAAATTAGATTTTTCAAATGTTAAATGTTGTTCCTTAAATCATTAAGAGGGGTTTGTGTCAGAAGGGCGGATCTACCAATATTTTTTTGTTTCGCTCTTTAACTTGGACCTTTTTCCAATTGTTTATTTGCTTATTGTCCTATCTTACTTTCAGAAGTTTCGAGGGGCTTGTTTACAGCCTCAACATCACTCATAACCTCCACATTTGGAGGCTGCAGCTGGCCCTCTCCAGCTGCCCATGTTATTGATCACAAGACATTAGTTTGATAAATATCTGGTCCATTGTCTGAGCATAAAACCTCGCCATCAACGGATCCGCTGACCTCCTCCAGTCTTCCTTTATGTTTCACCTGCCTTTGTCGAACACTCAATGGTCGGACAGACTTGACTCCCCTTTCTCCATTGCATTATTTATGGGCACAGCGAGCAGTCCACCTTTGCACAGTTGTTAGGAAGGCAGGAGGTTTCATTGTTTTTACCACTAAACACGGGGCAATATATCTTTTTCACCCACTGAAAATCGAGTTAATCTATGGACTGGCATTTTCTTTATTCAGCTTTACCTTAGTGAAAGGACATGAAAGATTGGGCTTTTCTTATGCAAAATTGTTTGGGTGAAAATTGGTCACGGCTTACAACGGTATACTGGTTTGTCAACAGTCAATGCAAGGAGTTGTTCTGAAGTATGATC